CCAGTGTGGCTAGAACATGTGACCATTTGCACATTGATCACTATTCAGAATTAGGTGCTGGCAATCCAGCAGACCTCACGTGACCAATTTAGAGGTAAGTGAAGCATTTTACTAGTTATAGTGCTCAGAAACAAGTAGCAGATAGGAGTCTGTTTGTCAAGGGTAGTAATAGGGCAAGCTCAATCTTTATATGAAGAGAAAGAGTTCTCTTCATATGTGAAATGATGTAGACATTAATGTACCATTTAGTCAAGTTTTTAGATTACTCCATGAGATAGCTACATTCTCTCCTTTTCTCAAAGCTGGTACACTTGATCTCAGAGTTTGGGATAAAATAGGTGAGAGTTTTTGTATAGCTAAAACCCAAAATAATATCAGTCAGAGAAATGGAGCCATGAATAACCTAGTGTATGTGGGCCTCTCTGAGCAGCAACAACAGGTAATCATTACAAAATATGCTCCTAGTGCTAACAAAATGCCTTTGAGTAAGGTAATTGAAAGACAAAAGAGCTCTAATGAAACCATAACAAAAGAATCAGCACCACCATATTGTGCCTCCAAATGGGCTGGGAGAAAAAGCTTGCATTCAAAATGCAGATATCAAATAAATTTACTTTTGCCAGATCATCATAAAGAAATAGAAAACTTTTCCCGTTTATTCAACACACACAGCTATTTTTTTTTTTTTCTTTTTTGGGGTGGGGGTGGTGCTCAGGAAGCCTTCAGGGCAGGTCTGGTTTGGCTTGAGGATGAGGGGATCGAACCACAGCATCCTGAGTCTGACTGCTTTCTTTCAGCAGGCACTTAAACACCTGAGCTAATGGGCAGGCCTCCTAGGGTTTTTGGTTTTTTTTTTTTCAGAACCGGGGATTGAACTCAGACCCTTGCACTTGCCAGGAAAGTGCTTATCCTACGGAGCCATCTCCCCAGCCACACACACAGCTTTATTCTCTATACCCAATTCAGAAGATAATGCCTCCCAGGCTGTGCTTCCTGCAGGCCCTTCCTCCCAAGGCCAGAGAGTCAGCTCAATAACAAACCCCCTCCTGCCCAGCCTGCAAAAAAGCCAAAGTACAGTGAGCTGAGGATACTTTTTAACTTTTTGCTCTTAAAAGACTTGAGGCAGACAATGTATTAAACAATGGAGCCCAAGCTCCTTATATTCTTACATGTTTGGCTAACATAATTCATGGTTTTCAAGTGCTACCAGGTGATGTTGTTGCAGTCAGCTGAGTTAGATAGAAATATTACAGACAGTCAGACAGGGCCAGGCCCTCAAAGGAGATAACACAGAAGACAAAGACAACTATGGTATGATGGATGCTCCTGCTGTGCGCCAGACCTAAAGACTTAAAGGGCAAACAAATGCTAAAAGAGTAGCACCTGGCATTGATATTCTAAATAGGTATCAATCACCTTGAAAGAGCCTAAGTTAGTCACTAGCCCAACCCCCAACAGGAAAAAACCCTGTCCCATATTCATGCCACTTCCTCTATGACTCACTTCCTCATTTGGTCCTGGGCATAATCACCTTTACCTGAGCAATGGTGCTTGTAATCCCATTGGTCGACTATAGTTTTGTCCCACCTCTTGTCCACCTAAGTGAGCTCCTATTCTCTCCACCACAGCCTCAAATGGTTTTACACTATAAAAGTCCCTAGAAAAGACAGTTTCCCAGGGAACAACCCACTCGGGCTCCCCTCCATTCCCTCTTTGGGACAGGAGCTTTCTTTCCTTCAATAAATATGTTCTGCTCATAACCTCCATTTGTTCCTAAAATTCATTCTTCGGTTTTAGGGAACACGAACTTGTGCAGATCAGGTTGGGAGATCATTTTTCCCTAAGTCATTTGGAGGTTCCCAGTATTGTTTGGAGGTCACCCACCCAAGATCAGTTTTTCTCCCTGTACCAGTTTGACCCATCTTACTTGACTGTGTCTGTCCCCCACACAATTCCTACATTTTGAATCACAATTAAAAATTATTCAACAGAGCAGTCATAGAGTAATCAAGACACTGCGGATGAAAATCTACATGTGATTATGTATGAAATGTTATCTGGCTCAGGCCAATATGCTGACTTAAACACCCAGGCCCAGGCTCCATCACTTCTTTTCAAGCAGTGTAAAGAGCTGCCACACCATAGTTGGATTTTTGTCCCAGAAGATGGTACACCTAATAAGTACTTTACACAGATACCCAGAGTCTTTACACTGAGTTTGTACCAAGATTGCAGAAGGTCGTAAATAAGCATATTCTTCACAACATTGTGTCTGAAATGGTCATTTGTCAATTAGCATATGATAACACCAGTAAAGAAGTAAAAGAGCCTTAGTCTCCCTACTTCATACAAAAAATTTATATGTTTACATTTGTGCATCTAAAACTATTGGATCTACTTTTAGATCTAGGCTTCTGCACTCACACATAAGCTATATCCCAATACATTCCTGGTAAGTTTGATATGATCACATGTTTTAATTTTTTTTAAATTTTATTTATTTATTTATTTGTGTGTGTGTGTGTGTGTGTGTGTGTGTGTGTGTGTGTGGCCAGCTCAGCCCACCAGGGGGCAGGGCTGGCTGGCATGTGGTGCTGGGGGATTGAACCGCCGGTCCCTGTGCTTTGCTAAGCTTGTTCTAAGTAGGTGCTTTAGACCACTGAGCCATCTCACCAGCCCCACATGTTTTAATTTTAAGCAAGGATGCCCACTGGTACTGCCCAGGACCTATAAAGGTGTTAACCCCCTCAGTGGATTTACCCATTACACAGTGTCCACATTGCATGCAAAGTTTTCACTGGGTAAAAATTGTAAATCTAACTTTCATAAAAATGGCATAGTATTGCAGAGAAGCTATGTCCCCAAACTGAGGTCCCAGTAACAGTAACAAAAGAAAGTCAGTCTGTATGCCAATGATTTAGATCCAGTTAAGCCAACTGTATCCAGTCCAAACCAGAATAAAAATAGTTCCTATGCTGGGATGTATGAACTGCAAAATCTTGCTTCCTTTGTTTGCCTGATCTGGTGCACAGCTCAGAGTTCAGAATTAGGTTTACCAGTGGCTTCTCACCTTGGTTTGTTGGGGGCAGAAAAGTCAAATTTAATTTCCACTGAAATTTCTATTTCTGCCCTTAACTCCATGTGTGAAGCTGGTAGAGACAAGTCTTTAAGCAAAGAATTTGGTTTTTCCCAGGGTATTTTAATTCATAGACCTATTTGTAGCATTAAGTTAAACTGATAATCTTTTACTGGATAGATGGATAAGGGAGCTGATGTCACCAAAGTAAACAGTCAATCATGGCCTTTTCTTTGACCAACTAGACCCACCTCCACTGCATTGAGAGGCTGCGTTGTCTTCTTCACAGAATGTAACGTTGGTCATAACAGACATATAGGCATTGTAACACAATGTATTGTACCCATTCCTGTTCATCTACAAGACATAGACTCCATGAAAGAATGGGACACTCTCTTAGTTACCTCTGTCCTTCAGAGATATGTGTCACCAGACAGCAGGATGATGGCTAAAATGGCATATCAAGAAAGCAAAGACTTTGTAGGAATCCCCTCCTCATTCTCCTCTCAGTCCAAAAAGTTAATATTTGTAATCCCAAATATATGTTATTGGAATTCCACCAAGTTAATTCCAAGCTACCATTCCCAGTGCAACCCACGGCAAAAGTAAAGACACTAAAACATATTTATAATTATTGGGGAGTCAAGGGGCCCTAAGTTCAGCCATGAAGATGGCTTTCCAGTACAAAGAGGCTGACCCAGGGCCTCACCCAGTTTTATTCAGTGGAGGAGGAGTGGATTGAGGAGGACTGACCAAGAATTCTGGGAAGTAGATGACTACTGTGAGCTGAGCTAGGTGGGTGGCCTACGTTTACCTCTGCTATATGCAGAAAGGATATGCAGAGAAAGTAATCTGCTTTATGTTATTGAGATAGAATCTAAAGTTTTTTGGGGGAATGGTCTGGTGCTTCAGATGTGATATAGTCTTTCAAGCCCCAGGAAGTCATAGCCTCTGTCTCAAGGCTTGAACCCAGCTGGTGACATGGAACATTGGCTCTTAGTCCTGTCTCAACCCAACTCACATTAAAGAGCAGCAGGTATAGGTTACCAGTCATGCACCTTTAGAGACTATCATCAGCACCTCAACTGGACCGATATATATTCCTTAAGGCCAATTGAAAGGATAAACAGAAGAACTATCCAACTCTGCACATATCAATACAAAGAAATAGGGTCAGGCTCAGTCAAAATGGAGACAACTGCTCTTCTTTCAAGGAGAGCTGTACAAGTGGTCTTCCATAAGGCTTAATTAAAAACTTGCATGACTGTACTCTTACAAGTATACTTTTAATTAAACAAAATAGATCTAACGGGTTTATGATGAAGGTCATTGATATTCAAGA